ATGAACTTAGCGAGAAACACGATTTACGGTCGGTGTATCGTGGAGGGGTGGCGTACGGCGCGGGAATATCTACCGGGGGGTAACCTGTTTGCGCGACGCTCGTGAGCTGGGACTTAACATTTATGAACATCCATCAGGTCTGTCTCCAACAGCAGGACAGATGGGAGGACGGAGATTGCTCCAATGACGTCCTCCACGGATCAGCTCAGTTGCCGCCGTGATAAAACAGAGGTGGAATAATTGGAGGCCCTTCCTCTGCCATACAGCTGGTCCGCACAGATAGTGTACTACCTGAGGAGCCAGGTCCGAGGGGCGTCTTGATCACTTTAGGGCGGGATTTTCAAGATTTAGCAAGCATGGGATCGTGAGGTCATGGGTTTGATTCCCGGCATTAGATGTTATGTTCTTGGCAAAGGCACTTTGCACGACTTTTCTCTCTCTACCCAGGTGTAAATGGGTACCCGATCACGACTTGTTGTGAGGGTAAAAGAGTGAAGAAGAGAGATGGGCTCTGCCTTTCAATACTGGGTCAAAGACACAAAGGATTAACAACCCACTGTCCCTACAGCCTCAAAAAAGGCTATGGGATATTTACCTATCACCATCCAAAATCTCATCAATGCTACAAAAATAAGACTTGTCAGTATGAGCTACTTTTCTGATGCTATTTCTTTGTCTTTCCTGTACTGAATACCACGTTAACACCAGTCAAAAGTTATACGAAAAAACACAATTACCAGAACATGTGCTGGAATAGTGTTTTGAGGTCTAATACAGGGAAAATCATTCCCAATTTGGGCTGACATGTTCTGAGATTTATTGATCACCCTACAGTTTATTGTGGGTTTAAGTTGCCAGAACATGTAGAAACCGATAGGCTGGGATTACATATGATTGCACACAGCATAATTACATACACACTTTGAAATTAAACATGCAGCCATACACTTCTACAATTATAAATCTTCAATTTCTTGTGGAACACACACATGGATATGAACATGGATCATCATTTTTGTACCAGCATATCTTTATACTATATCTAATTTTGACAGTGTTACACAGAAAAATGTGCACATCTGTGTTCTAGTAATGAATTTCAATTCCATCTTTCATGTAATCTTAGCAATATTACTAGCATGAAAGCTTGTCTGTGTTCGTACATACCTGTTTGATCATGAGGTAAGCAACAATCTTTTGTGTGAATGAATGTACTAACTTCATCATGGAATCTTAGAAATGCTTTAACTTCAACTTTCAACATATTTTAAGCTGGCAAATATACTATTTCATATTTGTACGATGTGACAATTTATTAGATGGCATTATACATTTAGTAAATCATACAGTCATTGACTAAAATGAAACCGTGCTGGTGATTGGTCAGCTATGATATTAATGTCAATGTGACAATTTAATGGATGCCATAAACCATTCATTTCTTCATTCCTTCCTTCCTTCATTCATTCATTCACTCATTATGTTTACCGAAGGAAAACATAGTTTTTGCTCTGTTTCCTCTTCTTCTCCAAATCAGTATGGTCAATGACCTGAACCAGACGTCTGTCACCATGGTGACTGGTGTTGGGTTACATCATGTTGCAATTTTATAGCAGGAAGGATTTATACTCCTGACCATATAGATGAATGTGTTTGAGTAAGAATTAACAGAGAGGTCCATGTGCAAAGGTAAACATTATGCATTTGCTTTGAAAATGTTACCTTTCTGGTTTACTAAAATGAAATCATACTGGTGATTGGTCAGCTATGATAAACCCTTGTCCTGATGAGCGCAACATTTGTCGTTCTGCACATACAGTACCATCTATATAGCACCCTGTATAGGTACGATTTGGGGGTATTTCTCGTGCAACGCATCACACCGCAGCGCAAACGCAACGAATGCGGAAGTAACTATGCCACTGCAGGGCAAAAAAATTTGGGGGTCTATGATCTAATTAAGACATGAAATTTTTGAAAAATATTGTGCCAGGAATGTCAGCAGGACAAGGGTTAATGTCAATGTTCTCTTTGCCAGCATACCTACAGAGTGTCCACTCATATCAACCCCAGCCCTATAGTATAACTCTGGGGTAATTGAAATGGCAGGAGGAAGAGTAATCTGGTGTTGGAGGAATGATCACCTCCTGACAGGGTCGGGAGGGGTCAGGAGGTGTGTGTCCCCAGGGAACACTGATGGATGGACGGCTTACTGACCATCTTGGTGGAAATATTGATGCTACAAGCACGTCGGCAGAACGTACTGCGCCTGCGCATAACACTGATTTTTCACGGTTTTCGTTGGATTTTTGGTCAATGTTGCATTAGAATTTTCCCTGTTGCAGAGGATATCTTTTCCAACACAACATTTGGAAACTACAGATGGAGTGTTAACCTTATATGCGCAAATACAACCTTATATGAGACGTTCTGCCAAAGTGCTATGCACAATACATTACGGGTTTCACGCAGGTGCAGTACGTTCTGCCGACGTGCTGATGTTACAAGGCTCGAAATCCATTTTTGGGGGAATAGGTGCACTTTTAAAAAAAAATTGGGTGCACAAAATTTTTTGGGGGTGCACTATACAAAATACAGTTTTGGAGCTATCAAAAATTCTGATGAACCCAAACTTCAATATATTCAACAAGTACTACCAAGGAGGTTAAAAAAGCTTTTTTTTAAACCTCCTTGGTACTACTACAACAAAGATTTTATCATTTTTCTGACTCTATGATATCAAGAATTAGGTATACTAGTACCTAAACCCACGAAAATATCTGGGTGCACAGGTGCACCCACAGAAAAAAAACTGGGTGCACAGCTCCAATTTTGGGTGTAGTAAGGTGCACATGCACAGAGTATTGGCTCAAAATACCTCTTTCTGGTACTTGAAATTATGTAAGTTATCATTCTGGAAGTGACGGCTGATTTTTTATGACCTTTTTGGTTTCTTCCACTTCAGGTAGGGGTTACACTCACTCACTGTATGATTGTGTGAATTATATAATTGAGTTTTTGGCCCCCTACCAGGTTTATTTTAAACTACAGTTAAAAGAATTGAGATTCTATGGATGAAGATATACTGCTTTTGTCTAGAATTGTATGTACACCTGTAGCACATGTCACAGCCAATATAATACAAAGTTTTGGTTCAAAATAGTGTTTTCTTTACCCAAACCATATCTTTGTAGATGAGGTGGCCAGGTACTGTGTAATGCTGATATGACACGGACTTCAGGCAGGCTAGCAGTGTCATACAATAATCATCACTGGGGCTGACCTGGACACAAGGGTACTGCCCTACTGACCCCACAGTCCAACAGACAATTCATTAACATTTATTGCAATGACATTTGGGCTAGGGATAGAACTGTACTAGGACATTTTCTGTCTGATTTGTGATACAACCACAAATGTATGATTTTTAACAACTGTGTTTTCATTATCACATTGACTCTTGCTATTTGTCCAGGCTCCGTATCCAATAATAATTTTTCCGGCTGAATAATTGTAGGAGAATGATTTCCATCTGATTGATTTGTGATAAAACCATAAACATACATGTATGTTTTCTGACAACTACAATGTCAATGTCATGACCATGTTGACACTGACTCTTTGTTGTAACCTCGTACATGAATGCATATTTAATGTTTAAAGTAAATCTTTGTATGTCTATACACACATGTACATTAGGTATGTGTCAGTTCCTATAGTTGTATGTTGTTCCCAAAATAAAACAATTCACAATATACCCTAGTGCTCTCCCTAAGAAATGGAATACAGTCATGTAATTTTGCTTGAATCAATAAAATTGGCTTGTTTTGGCCAAGTTTTACTCTGTCTACACCTACAATACTATCACGTTCTAAATTTCTAGTAACCTGGGTGCCATTTGATTTGTAATTGCAACCTTTTTTCGGGGTTGCCCATTACAAATCGGATGGCACCCAGGCTAAATTTCTAGGGGAATCTTTGCCACTTATTCCAATGTAAGTCCTGATCCTGTAATGTAATAACAATGGGTAGGAAGAGTGGTAAGTTGCCCGAAATGATGATGATGATAGCTAGAACATTTCCAAAGCTTACTTCACACACTTTGAAGCCTTTTTCCTGCCTTATTCCTGGCTTAAAGGCATCCAGTGCAGTTTTTAAGGCTTGAAAACCCAATTTTTCTAAGTCAATATTCTAGTCACTTATCTACATACTGAGTTGAAACCACACTATCCAAATGTAATTATTGACCCTCATGGAGCAAAAAGTCTGACGGAAAATGGTTACTGGAAGGGCCCTGGGCTGATTTTTAGGGTACCGCCCAGAAAATAAAGGACTCATCTTGGGGCTTGTTTCTGCAGTTTTAAATGCGAAAGTATGAGGTGCTGATTGAAATGAGCTAATGTGAAGCAGTATGTGTCAATATCACGAAGATTTCCTTATTCAGAATATTTCCAGTTTTGCTGCCATGAAATCGCATTGGATGCCTTTAAGACGTCACTAGCAGGTGACCCTGGCCTGCACTTTGGAGCGTTTGCCTTGCCCGAGGTGATTCCTTGCATGGCAATTTTTCGTATTGATTGCGGCAGAGACAAACATTTTTTTCTGCATCAGAGTGGAGAGAGAGGTCGCAGAACCCAGTGACCCCCACCTCCCACCAACGCACAATCAGCAAGAATTCTTCCACTCCAGATGCATTAGTTATCCTTGACTGATGAATGTCAATTAGTTGAGCACGCTGGGAGATTCAGGTGCTTCTCTTCTCAACAGCTGAACAGATACTGGCAGATGTGTTATTACCTTTGACAAGAAGGTTATGTGTGTGTGTATGTATGCATGTGTGTTTGCATGTATGTGGTTTAGCACAATACCTCAAGAAGCTTTTGATGGATTGTCATGAAACTTGATAGGTGGGTAGGTAAGTCTGTGAAAGTGTATCTCGATATATGTGTACTTTACAATATTAGGGTAAGACTGATACTTTTGTGTCTATGGAAACCTACCTCGGTAACGTCCATGACTTTGATGGCCGCCAACTGCCCAGTCTTGGTGTGGCGACCCTGCAAACAACAAAACAACAAACGTTTAATGATAAACAAACAAACAAACAAACAGATGCAAAAGAGCTCAAATATATGAGATAACAGTAACCGTCAATCAATCAGTAACCATACATTTATATGTTGTCTGTATAATATTGTCACAGTGGGAGTTATAGATTTTCAGTGCTGTATCAGGTCAATATTCTGACAAAGTTTACCATACATGTATATCTGTGAACTATGGATCTGATAAAATTGTTTGGTAGACTTTGATCAATGTAACAATGGGTATTTAAAACAAGCATAGTACTACATCTATTCAATAGTTCTTATCAGAGTTATTGCATACACAGATTTTACAATCAGCTGTGAGCCTTGTTGCAAAGTGCGCAGAGCAAGAACTTATTTTTTGATAGTCAATATTCAGGATGACAAGGCCTATATAGTATTGTATCCAGGGGGTCCCAAAACACTTCGCATAGAATAAGACTCATCCCAACAATGTATTATTTATAAACATCAGATAATAATTTACTATTTCCTTCTACCTTCCTCTGCCTTCTTGTTTTAACCTTTTCTTGCTGCCTTACCCAATAAACATCTAGCAATAGCCAACAGACAACTGGTAGTCAACGGCTACTTCAGTATGCTGAAGGTTAACCAATTCTGAAACACTGCATTGTTAAGGACCATTTCATATTCATAATGCCACTAATTTCCACACAGATACTGCTAGCATTAGCAAGTATTCAAGTATTTATTTTTTGATAGTCAATATTCAGGATGACAAGACCTATAATGTATAGTAGGGGTATCCAGGAGGTCCCAAAACAATTCACATACAATAAGACTCATCCCAACAATGTATAGATGACAGATAACAATTTACTACTTCCTTCCTATATACTGTTTTAACCTTTTCTTGCTGCCTACACCAACAGACAACTGGTAGCCAAACGGCTACTTCAGTATGCTAAAGGTTGTTAACCAAGTTTGAAGCACTGCATTGTTAAGGGCCATTTCATATTCATAATGCCACTAATTTCCAGTCGGATATCGTGCTGTGGGAATCGAAAGCCGTTCCTTCGCCAGCGGGGATGCGGTAAGCCGTAATCCCCGCGACTCTCCGAGAGGAGATACACACAGATGTAGGCTGACCTCATCCCTCATACATGCCAGTAAATACCAGGTATTCCCAGCAGAAATCTACAGGGGCCAGCACTACAAATTGGATTTGCATGCATATTCCCTGTACATCAGGGGGAAGCCTGGTTAGCAACCCTGGAACAACAACCAACCACACAACACAAGTCTCATCACTCCCAGCAGTGTTCGAAATACCTGTCTGCAATCTGCAGATAGATTTTCAAGATTGCAGAAGAAAAATTTATACAATCTGCAATTTTGCAGAAGGAAAAATTGGGATTTGGGGATCATTTGGCGCTCTTGGCCCCAAGGACAGACAACAGTTAAGCTCCTGTTCTGAAACAACAGGAGCTTCTTCACTAATTTACATCAACCTTGTCTTGACTTGTCTATCTTTTGTTTCCTTTTGGACTTCCAAATATTTGTCTTCACTAATTTGCATATCAATCAATAGTTCATGCTTATAAACTTGCAACATTGTAGTATAGAGGTTTGTGTATTTGCAGAAAGTATTTCCAAATTGCAGAACAAAATTTTGGCTCTTCTGCAATATTGCAGAGCGCTGAAAAAAAGTATTTCGACCACTGCTGTACATCAGGGGAAAGCTGGTTAGCAACCCTGGAAAAACAACCAACCACACAGGTCTCACTCACTCACAGTAACATTCAGGCAGGCTTGCACTATATAAGAACCCAATAAATTCGGCTAACGTAAACTACCAGGCCCCATTCTGTCCCTGACTACCGTGGTGGTAACATGGGCACAGGGCTCTTGAAGACACTTTGTGTTTGTAACATATTGAAGACAGATAAGGAATTTATGTACATGTACAGTCTGTTTTACAGAAAGAAGATAGCCTCACCTTACCCAGAATATAGTAATTACACCACTGTACTGTTTTGCCAAGGTTTGGTGGTGTTATAGATTGGCCGGCAGTTACTTGAACAGTTCTAACAGAGATCCAGTCTACATGTATACTAGTGCTGCTTTCTCATACTACCAAATTGACACCACAATTGCAACCCATATTTCTAGACTCACTTACTATCCAAGCTAATTCAGTTGTGAGGTTGCCATTTTAGATATCTATAATTAGAGGCTTTGATGAAATGTTGACAAGACAGTTTGAAAAATTGAAATTTGACCACAAAGTTGGTTTTCCAGAAACTGAAAGTTGCAGATAGTATTTTCTTGATTGATGTGACTCAGTTACAGCTATCCCGATCATTCTGCATGGTTTGATATTGTTAGTTTGAAAACGAGTATAGAAAAAACATTTGAATTTGTTCAAAAAGAGTGACAGTTATTATGCTAATCTGTCCCTGCCATTGTTTTCGGTGGCTGGACCGTATAGGATGTTTATTAGTTTATGTGGTTATGGGGGTCAATTCACTATTCAAGCTGCTGGAGAAGCCACAGTGGGGAGTACTTCCTTATTGCGTCGCCCTGGGCACCGAATCCTCCAGTTCCTAATAGCCCATATGGGCAATAACACAAACAAACCTGTCTATGGTAACCCACTCAAGGGACTGGAAGAAAGTAGTCATAGCACACAGGTGGTCACTATACACAGGATATTAAGGCTTAGATCAATGGGAAAAATAATTTAAGAAATCAGCAAAAAGGTGGAAACAATGGCCAGGTGGTCATTAAGAAAAGGTCACTGGACAGGTGGTCTCCTTGAAGAGGGTCGACTCGCAACATGATTGAGACAAAAATGGTTTCGAGATGTTTTATTGTCAAATGCTGTAAGCATCTTCAGTTCTGAGGTAAATGCATGCATGTATGCATGTTTGTATTGGTCACCAAGTTGTGCAACAGGGAGAATGTTAATTCATTGCAACGTTTAAAGGAAAATCTCCTGAAATTGAGACGTTTTCTCCAGCATTATCTTTACACTAACAATCAATTTTCTTTCAGAGGGAATATATCAAATTCTATGCATGTGTAGATATTATCCATAAAGTTATGTTAGTGTGGCCCAATAAAACAAACATATTTCATGGTGCTCTATTACTGTCCACTCATATCCCTTCCACAGCTATTATTATATAATAATATGGAAGTGTGGTGACTGCATAAGTGAGTTACATCTTCTATATATGAATAGGTATTGATCTGTATGGCTGTAAGACCTCTGCTATACTAATATCATAACATAAGGTCACACCAATTTAATTTCTTGGTTAACGGATTCGCCCGCTTAATTTTTTTCTGATTTGCAAATAAAAATAAAAATTCAGAATCAACTGCAAAATGCTCATATTTTGCCCTGAACAATTGAAAACAGTCCTTTTCATAATAGTTATTACAGTTATTCCATCTTTCAATGCAATGTTATCATTAAAAATTCAAAATTCATTGTTTCAATTTTGAACCAGCCTGGTGTGTTGACTTTATGGCTCCTATCATACCATTTTGGACCATAATAGGATGCCTAGGCCTGTTTTTATTTTTTTTTTTCGCCCGCCCGCTCCATTATTTTTCTAGAAAAATCCGTTAACCAAGAAATTAAATTGGTGTGGCCTAAGAGCGGATTGTACCTATTGATTGAGTCAAAACACTCTGCGTCCATTCTAATAATGGTCTGAAAACACTCTAATAACAGTGGGCTAACAAAATGTATATTAAGCATAGCCTTATGAAAAGTGATATGATGGATAGAGCTATTACAGACTTATTAAAGCTGCAAAATAAATTAGGAAACCCCAATTCATGTAGATGCCTTTGTGGGAATAGGTTCGGGCATGAGTTACACTGTGTATGGAAGCAAATTGCCCTGGGTGCATTATAGTATACATGTGGCAAGAGCTTTAATCTAGGAAATGATATTAGAGGGTAATGAATATGGTTGGTATGCCTGTGTGCGTGGGGCATGATTTTATTACCCTTTTCCACTGCTACTGGAAAGTTCATCAGTGAAGAGCAGTGCTCTAGGCGACGTGAATTTTTTTCTGTCATCTCAATTTTGTTTGACGTAATATCATGTCGAGTGTGAGGCGCAAGAATCCTAGGGGGGGGGGGTGCAGGGGCAAGCTCCCCAAGGAAAATGTTGATATCTTGACTCTGTAACTTCTAAGACACTATTTCCTGCATTTTGAGGGGCAAATTTTGCTGGAAGGCTAAGCTTAGTTAAATGGCATCCCTATATCTTCACACACCGATTTTTGGAGTGGTGGTTTACCAGTTATGCAAAACAAACAAAACAAAAAAAAACTACCCTGACCAATCAATTCTCACCTTTTCCAAACAACAACAACGACCTACGCAGCCATGGTCGGGAAAAATTGGCGACGCAGACAACTAATTTGCCTCGTCTGTTGCTTTACCTAAACAATATTCATCCTACTGTTGTAACATGTCTCTGTGCCCAAGTCACAATCGCATTAAGGACAGCCATCTTCTGTATTTGTTCAAGAAGTAATGCAATCTGTGAGACATGGCCAGAGACATCATTCGGTAATCCTTGCCTTTTTCTACCATGTTTGGGCCCCTGCATTGCCAGGATGGGAACTGAAATTACGTTAGAGTCCAATTTCAAATTGACCTTGTGTTGTGACGCAATTCCCTACTCCAGGGTAACATGTTGTATTCCAAGGCACATACGGGTATGACTGGTGATACATAATGTAAAATCAGGTACAGATACTGAGGTTTAACTACAGGTCTGGACCTGAAAGTTTGGTCCTCAATGATGACAGAAATATGAAAAACTAGAAAAGTAACATTTGCAAAGCAAATGTGTAATGTTTACCATTCGCATATGGTCTGCTCTGGTAATTTTTTCTCCAAACACATATATGGTGACAGGAGTCTAAATCCATCCTGCTATAAAATTGCAACATGATGTAACCCAACACTAGTTACCATGG